GGACCTGTGTTATATTCCTGGTGCTGATGGATATTTTAGCAGTGTAGCAATAATGAAATACTGTATTTTGCTGATGTTACGACAGAATATAGAGAGCGGACAGCAACTTACTAACAGGCTGTTTGCTTAAAGATCTGTAATGAGAATCCACAGTTACGGAAAAATCTGATGTTGTGAGAACTTTGCTGTGTACAGCCCTGCCATGAAACTTAAAATTGGGAGGCATAGTGGTGCAACCCAGGGTTCAAAACGTGTTTCCGAGAAACATTTGAAATTGTGATTAGCAGTCTCTCAAATGCGTACCTGTGATGATGAGATGCTGCTGATTTGATGGTTTCTTACCTTTGGCCAAGACAGGGCTATTTGTTCTGATAAATTCTGAAGGTGCGCGATAGAGATCCTTGCTTGGCAGATACCTCTAGAGTAACCTGTAGTGCATACCTGGCATTGTCTTTCTGGTGCATTGGCCCGTTTCCCAGCAGAGCATTTGGCCCTCAGAACAATTTGTCTTACTTGCAGTTCTCTCAAGTGCTTTTCTGAGGAGTTCCTGGGAAAGACCCAGGGCAGGAGCAGGTTGTATGAAATGTGCTAAGGCAGCCCAGCTGCTTGTTGCTCTCTGATATGGGGATTCCTCAGATAAGAGCATGGATTTGTCTACATACGTCTTCTGTTTAGTACAAGCGTGGTAAGTGGTGCTTCTGTGAAGTTTTGTGTCTACTGTGTATGGTGGATCAACCGTACTGAACATGAATGGCAAATCAGACTCTTAAAGGAAGTACTGCACCTGTGTTCCATAAAAACGTGATTATAGCTTTTTCCTTGTGCAAGCAAAGACTTCATGCTCTGATGGCCTGCTCTGAATCTGGCTTCTAAGAGTTAATCTATAAATTATCTAAACTGTAGGCATTTGCTTCCCTTCTCTTTTAGAAAGTAACATAATTTAAGGACTCAGGAGTTATTGGACCAGAACGAAAGAGCAGTATTCTTTTCTGCACTTTTATCCTGAAATAGCCCCAATCCCAAGACGGAGACGTTATCACTATGGTTTTATCTGTAAAATAGATTGTATACTTTTAGTTGATAAATGAATGTTTCTCACAATAACTTGGATGAAACCTACTTTGTTTTGCAGATTAAGCTTACTGAAAAGAACATTAATTAATGAATCAAAGAACATTTATTACTTTTTAACAGAACACAAACTAATTATAGCCGTACCTATATTAAATCTGTAAAGCTGTCTTTTCTGTTGTGTATGTGATTATCTTTTTTAAGGCAGCTGAGAATGGAGCAACGGGTGTTGAGCTGGATCTTGAATTTACTGCAGATGGTGTTCCCATTCTTATGCATGATCAAACAGTAGAAAGGACAACTGATGGGTCTGGAAGATTGTCTGACTTGACTTTTGATGAAATTAGGAGACTTAATCCATCTGCAAAACATAGGCTGTGGTAAATGAACTATTGCTATTCTGAAACTACTGTTTCAACAGTAAAAAAACTATTATTGATAAAATTATTGCTTTAATCTGTCACTGATTAAAATTGTTGTAAATTTAAAGCATATGTTACTTCTCATTTGTTTTTAAAAGTGTGTGAGACTTTATCTCCTTACCTATCCTTGCAATAGGAACAGTGAAACAGAGTCAAGATAACTGGCTTTCAGTAACAAAATCCACAGGCACCTAATGTGAAACAGGCTAATCTCTGCATAAACTTCCCCTAAATTGACTGCAGGGCACTAAAGAGATGCTGTGAGTTTTGCAATGTCAAAATCAGCTTGAGTAATTGCTTCTAAAATTAATTTTATTCACATGTATTTCTTGACTGATTGTATCTTGGGGATTCTAAATATCAGGATTATATTGTTGAAAAGGAGCTAGACAGATTTCCCAGGTAGCCTCAGGTAGGAGCTGTGGCCCCAGTGGTTGATTAGGTCCTTTCCAGTGGTATGCAGGGGAAAATATTTCTATGCATTACTAAAATTTTATCACTCTGCATGTGCAGCCTTTTACTGGGCGAGAGAGCCAGCACTGCCATTGCTAGTGGTGCTTGATCCCACCTCTAATACTAGTGTATCGGCAAACTCTGTTAGGAATCCCTAGGAAACAGCTCTGTGTAGTTGGGGATGTGTGCGCACACATGTGGGCGCATGTGTATCTTGACTGCACTCCAGTGAGAAGTTCTCTGTTTCTACAGGAGAAGATTCCAAGGTGAGAAGGTACCAACTCTGAGAGAAGCTGTGGTGGAGTCCATGCGTCACAATCTTATAATCTACTTCGATGTCAAAGGCAATGCAAATCAGGTACCGCTTACTGTACTAAAGACACCTTCCTTCACCCTTTCTTTGGGTTTCTAACATGTGTTTTGGTTGGTTTCAAACTGATGTGTGTGGTACAGTCCCTTCTCTGTTATGAGCGAGACTGCGTCAGCTGTTTGAGTCATCCAAACTTGGGCTGTCAAAGCAAAGACATTTTCCCTCATCCCATTCCATTGTCCTGGGACGCTGCAACTTTAAATTAGCACAAGACTTGCATGAGTGTTGAGTTCAGCTCACAGCACCATCATGAAACAAAGCAAAGTGAATTCCCTGCCTGTGCTGAGGGGAACTAGTATCTCATCTTCAGCCTCCAGCTAGGGATCCTACTTGTCTATAATTTGCATTACTGAAAGCAGATACAGGTAATCAATCATTAACATTTTATGCTAATTAGAATATATTTTTCTCTAGCATAGCAAAATATGGAAATAATTTTTCCCCTTGAAATAAACCCTAGGTAGTAGTTCAGAATTTTATCTACAATATATTTAAGTGCATTTCAAACACTGAGAATGCTACTCATTGCTGTGAACAGAATCATGAAAAGGACGTTTGTTGCAAAAACATATCATTTCTGTGTTAATGGTATAAACAAGATGCTGTTTTTCTTCTTTCCCCTTTCCATTTCAATCTTGTTACACAAAACAGGAAGGTATTTTTTTAAGGGGGATTATTCTAAAGTGACTTTGCAGTGTAAAGTAAATATGAGTGTATACAGAAATATAACATCTGTGTGTATCTCTAATTGGCAGGCAGTTGACGCCCTGAAACAAGTCTACCTGGAATTTCCGCAATTGTATAACAACAGCGTAGTCTGTTCTTTCATGCCAGATGTTGTTTATAAGGTGATGTTTCCTAAAAATTTATTTTCGATTTTTGTTCTGTCTGGGCGTTTCAGTAAGGTGTACAACTCCCAATTCCACATTACTTTTGGGATGTTAAATTGCCAGGACTTCTAAAAACAAATGAAGCATAAATCATAAGTCTCCTGCATAATCTTACTAGATCACTCTGTGCTCGTATATGATGCACATATGAATCTACAGCAATTTCCTCCATTCTGAAAGCTATGTAGAAAAAAGTGTGTTGCTCTTACAGTTGGCCTATGGGTTAAAACCTCATATTTTGATGTAAATATAGACTATTCTTAAAACTGTTTCCTAATTCTCTGTCCAAGTCCATTTACTATGTATTTTATTCCATTGCCTGACTGCTATGCAATTTTTTCAACATAACAGCAGTTGCTTATCCAGTATGTTTTAAAGAAAAGCTAGTAAAAGATCATAAATAGCTTTCTAAAAGTTACAAAGGGATCTGGGTCAGAGTGGGAGAAGGCTTCTGGTAGAGCTGCAAATGCAGGCTAGCACTTTTTATCTGACATCTCCCAATTTATATTGCTTTTGTATGAATAACAGTCTTTTCTCCTTGATCTCCCAGATGAGACGAGCTGACAGAAACGTTGTGACAGCACTAACACACAGGCCTTGGCTGCTGAGTCATTTTGGAGATGGAACACCCCTTTTCCATTCCTTCTGGAAACATCATTTGTATATGATGATGGATGTCATTGTGGATTGGAGCCTACACAGTTTCTTGTGGCGATTGTGTGGGGTTTCAGCTTTCCTCGTACAGAAAAATTTTGTTTCTCAGTAAGTGTTAAAGCTTGCTAATATATCAGGAAGTAATATCATTCTATTAGTATTGAAGGGTGGACTTAACATAGTGTGTGTTAACCAATATGTTCCACTTGGTGTCGTGGAAGTTTGTTTAGAAAGTTTCTTTGCTGCATGCTATTTTACTGTTTTAAGCCTCTATCTTTTTCAATCTGTATTTTTATCTTATGTTAGATCCTAAGTTTAATCTCAAAGGGGAAGAAAACTTGCTTTTGCCTGTTTACAGTAATAAAACACAAAAAGCTGATGATGCAATACTGATGTAAAACCTTGGTTGTAGTCTCAGCACTGTCTGCCTTAAATATGGTATTGTCAGCCTTCCTCTTACGGTGTCTTTGTTCCTTGCAGGGAGTACGTGAGGTACTGGTCTTCAAAAGGAATTCATGTGGTTGCCTGGACAGTGAATACATTTGCTGAAAAAAAGTACTACGAAACTGTCCTTGAATCCAGCTACATCACCGACAGCTTGGTGGAAGACTGTGATCCTCATTACTAGACTTGTGCTGTGCAGACAATCCCCAACCTCAATAAGCTGTTCTTAACTCGGGCAGGTCTGAGTTCACCATTGAGAGGGTATCCACTGGTGCTAACAATAGTTCTGGGAAAAGGAAGAGCAGTAGTTTACTTCTGCAGCCTGGTCAGATCTCAGATAAAGAAAAACCCTCTGTACCACTGCACAAAGCTGAGTCATGGTCATTTGTGGTCAGAGGAGATCACACTGTAACGTAAAAGGATCAGGTTTGACAAGCTAACTGGGCGATACACTGCATGTACAGGTTGGTTTGTAATTCCCAGACTATTCCTTTGCTTTTTCAAATCTTGGTTATAAAGTCATATCATCAATTTTTGGTGGCAAAACTTAAAATCGTACCTTGATTCTAGTAATTTAAACAGTCTGTTCTACAACTGTATAATAATTTGAAGCTCTATGGCATCTTAAAAACATCTGCATTGCTGTATTTAAAACAGAACCTGAAAATAATGGTGCTGAAATAAAGGGTGGGTATCTTTCCCTCCTCGTGCATGGAAAGATGGCTGTGCTGCATCTTGACAAGGAAGGGAAAAGCCACCTTTCCATATTCAATGTGAAGACTATGAGAATTCATGAATAAAACTTGAGTATCTTCTTATCTTCCAGATTTTTTAAAAAGAACCAAGGGAGTAGAGAAGATTATTTCTTCTAATGACACAGCACTTGAATGTATTTATTTTTAAAAGCAAGCTGTATATTGAGTACTGGTAGTGGTAGAACAAATAGAGCTGAAATGTCTTTTTACTTAGTTTATTGTTTGCATGATTGAAGGGCACTCACAAGGATATGTGGGAAACTGTAATCCAGATTTAACTTGAAATCAAAAGAGTCTGCAATTACTATAAACACATACCTGATAGCTCGCAGGTCTGTATTCTTTATCAGCTGTGCAGCAGTAGCTTGATGTAAAACATCAAAATTAGTGCAGATCCCTTGCTGTTCTTTTTAACAAGTAAACCCCCCAGGGTTCTCATCAGAGCTACCATCAACGTGCTGTGAACAACTCTGGCTCTGCTCTGGAGGGAGCTGGTAGCTGGACAAGACTGTCAGTGATAAGCAAGAGCAGAAAACTTGTGGAGCCAGCCCTAACATAAAATAGACCACCTGTTCTTAATGGCCAGTACATGGAATGACTAAGTTTAGTAATTTAATTTCAGAAGAATGTGATATTAATTTCAACAGCAATGAGGAATTGGAAGATTTAACTGATTGGTTACCTGCTGCAGGTTATTCAGATGTAATCTCACAAGATATCTTGGACTGCACGAGTAGCGATTTGTATGTTGGTCTGGAATGTGTATCGCCATTTTAGTAAAGTAGCTCCTGGTGCTACTTCAGTGCTGTTGAATTCATTGTTTCCTCGTCTGGGTGTTGCTGTGTTTCAGCTGACACGCTGCACTGTACACCAGGTGATCACTTCATGATGTGCTAGGGGAAAGCTGCACGTACCAGCAATAGACCAGCACAGTGCAGGGATGGGTGGTGTAGTGTGCTGCGTTGCTTTGGATATAAATGTTCTTGGTGGCATCCTCATGGTCAGAATTAGTTCTCATTCACGGAGCCAGCTGAGATTTTAAAAAAACTTCCATAAAAGAGGCAAAAGGTAATAAAAAAACAATAAAGATTGGTCATCAGTGGAAAGTGGGACACAATGGTCCCAATTAAGGTAAGTCCAAACTTCCAAATTAGCAGCAGCTTAATGCTACCTTCTGCACAGGGTGATGGATTTCTTGCTTGTATCTTAAGCTATGCATAAGCACAAAGAAACATAGGGTGAAGGAGGTGATTTTTCTGTCAGGAAAACAAGACCCACTTCAGTTCATGTCACACATCCACCCTGTACTGCAGAGCCAACAGTCTGTCTCCTGGTGCACATCCTATAGCATGTGCACGTTACGCCCTCAACCAGTTTCTGTCCAGCCATCTCATGTGTGCTGTAGCCTCTACCTTTACTGCTGTGTTCTACAGGTGCTCCCTGAGCTGCCATGGGAAGAGCAAATGACCCTTGCTCCAAGGATCCACTTTTGATTGCTGCTTGAGGATCTGACACTGAGTCACTGTCCTCATGGCAAACACTAGGCCCATATTCAGTATTCACAGCCAGGCTCCATAGTTATGCATGCAGAGAAACATAATAAAACTGAATCTCTGGTCTTCCATTGTGTGTGAAGTTTGTCTTTTTTTCTGTACTGTTGGGGGCTGGTTTTTGGTTGTCTTTAACCTAAAGTATGAGCATGAGGAAAATACGTACTTCTTTCCTAAGGCATTTTTAATGTCCAAAACAATGAGGGATGAATAAACCAGGCAGTAGTAGGAAATGGGCTAAAAATAATAAAATGCCATCATGGCAAAGGTGTGGCTCTGAACAAAAAGAAGCTGCATCAAGTGTCTCAAAGTCATGTGTGATTAAAAAAAAAATCTCAATTGAGTTACTTCCAATCTATTCTTTACTGGAAAAAGATATGTGTAAACATTTTGTTTACAAGCAGTGGTTTTACAGAGATGATAATTTTGGTAAGTAGTCACTCTAAAAAAAGAGTTATGGTGACTTTTAACATCAAAGCTGGTTTTGACTGTAATAAACTGTAAAAATAGCTCAGAAAGGTGAAAACTGAATAGAGGCATAACCTGGTGCACACAGGTTGCTTTGCAGCCATTACAATATCTCAGTCATTAAAAGCAACTGCACTTTAGTTTCCTTCTATTTTTATTTGACCAATACTTCACTTTTGGTTTAGGTCAGATAAAAGCAGTTTGAACAATTTAGCTGATAAAAAAATATTTTTAGACCAAAGATTTTATTTACTATTAGGCACAAGTTTCCTTATACTTAGTCAACAGCAAGTGACCAGCTGTGGAGGGACCCTTACTGCGTGGAGGCAGCGATCAGTCCTGGGGGAAGGCTGACTGTCACCACAACATCACTACTTCAAAACCAAACCAAACACGCAGGCTATTCCCTATCATCATAACAAAGTGCAATTGGGATGCATTTTGCAATCTGTTCTTCTATTTTTTCTTCCATTTGGGGATATAAAAATGTTTGAATGCCTTGTTCAGTCATTAGTGCAAATGAGTATTGCTTTCTGCAGAACATCAATGACTTAACATTTATTGATTCTGCCTGCTCACAGTCAAAAATCTTTGTCATCTTCTTCGTCTTCCCGCAGAGCGAGCACCACTGCCTCAGACACACCTGGCCTGCTGCTGGGCTGGGATGTCTCTGAATCTGTTTTGTACAAAGGAAGTAATATTAACTGTGCTGATGTCGGTATAATAACCACTCCCAACAAAAAGGCCTGTGCTAGTTAAGTGTCTCATCTGTCAACTATTTGGAATGAAGTTAAATGTTTGTGTAAACCAGGAATAGGTCAAGCTATCACACAGGTTTCCATAGCTTTTTTTATTCCAGATGTACAACGTCCTAGGGACCCTACATCATTAATAACCTCTTCTGAGATTCACACCAAGATGTGAATCTCTAATGTGATGTAATATTCTTGCCTGTGGCTGCTCTCATAAGATAAAACGGCTCATTTACCCATAGAAACTAAATGCTCTGGAATATGGAAGCTTGTAATCAGTCTTCAGAAGTCACCACCAACATTGCAACAAGCTATCAATAACCATGTCCTATAGAAAATGTTCACCCCAAACATCAGTCTTTTTCTCTTTATACAAGACGCTACAATTCTGTGTCTCTCACATCAAGACATTATATGCTGTGTCTGTACTATATCAAACGTTTTTACTGAGCTGAGCTTCTACAAGCTGCTTTGTATGTTGAGCATTTGTTGCTTACCTAGTGGGAAGCCAGTGCCCCTCAAGATCCCAGCAGAATAGTGATACTGAAAAAAAGTAATTCACAAGTAGATTTCGGTCAATGTTTCTCTCATGTACCAGTTATCTTGTATTTAAAAAGATACTAGTTACCTGAAACAAAACTATACTCTGCAGATCTTAAGCAGGTCTGTGCCTATTCCAACAGCTATTCTGATTACATTTTTGTACCTGTTCAAATCAATCTTTAAAATTATTTCTATACATACAGGATGTCCTCTTTGTTCAACGTATGCCCATTGTCTATATAATGCCCAACGCTCTATATAGGGAAAGGTAGCAGAGACTTTCTTCTTTTGACCATCTCACCTTGTTGTGGGATGCATTTTGATTTCTGCTAAATGCCCTTCCTGGGTAGCCTGGCATTTGCTGGGCAGGTTGCCTGGATGGGTGGTATGAAGAAGAGGAGCCGCTCCAAAAGACAGAATGTTTGGCATTAGCAGTACTATGTTCTGGCTTCCCATCGTGACTTTATGGTCGGCGCTACCCACACTCGAGGCTATTACCCTTGTTTTAGGGAGATGGCTCTTCTGCTAGATCCACAATGAGATTATTCTGGCATCTCCTTCACCAGTATGTGTAAGAGCTTTTGCTCAACCCAAATGAAAACACTGCACAGCGCACATATGTGCACATTTTAACACTAATTTGATGGCTCAGCAGGCAGGACTAACTTGAAAAACAAATTAAAGCTTAAGATGTTAGATGTCTATCTTGATGTTGTATGGGATTTGAAATGGGGTTAGATCAAAGCACTCAGTATTACCCTCA